CAACCCACAATTCCAATCACCAGGATACAATAAGTGCCACTAGCCTTCTAGTTCAATTTGCAAAACCAAGAGCCAACACCCAAAGAGGCTGTGAGTTTAATCAGCATTTCCATTCAAATCGAGGCTCAGCCGCTCACTTGGAAAAAGCTGTTCCTGGGAGAACCATGATGAGCTTGCAATGGCCAAGAGAAGCCAGAGATGCACCCGCAGCACAGCACTAGCCTAGTGTGCAGCTCCCACGAGCCATGCTTCCCCGCACACATGCTGCCCCTCTTACGGACTAGCTCGACAGTTCATGCTGCAGGCCTTACACTGCAAGCTAAGAGAAAGGGCTACCTATTCTTTTAAAGAGGGAACGTACCAGCATCACGCTCTGGGACGGGGATGGGCTGCTCCCTCTGACAGAGAGGATGCTCGCTTGCTTATCTCCATGGAAGCTGAAAGCCAGAGAGCTCCTCAGCCAGCAGGATGTATTGTTGGGAAGGACCAAAGCTAGACTGCAGGGGCTTCTTGTCTAGAAGGTAGATGGCCCTTAGTCAGTGCCAAGCTGGTAACTGAACTGAATGCTCTCTGCTGAGGTCATTAACAGCCAGTGCTCGGGCTCACAGACCCCACATCAGCCTGGAGGAGAGGCCTGGGAGGGGTGGGGATGGGACACAGAGAAGCACTGGTTTGGATGGCTTCATAGGGAGATGCACAGAATCCAGGCACCAGAAATCACACTGGAATTCATGATCCAAAGCTGGGAGAGAGGAAGTAATGGAGGAAAGAGAAATGGAGCTGCCTGGGGACCATGGATTGTCCTGCCTCCCACAGAAAGGGGCGTGCACCTCTAGTAACAATTCCACCAAGTTTCAAAGTAGCAGCCGTGTTAGTCTGTATCCGCAAAAAGAACAGGAGTACTTGTGGCACCTTAGAGACTAACAAATTATTTCAGCATAAGCTTTCGTGGGCTACAGCCCACTTCTTTGGATGTGAATTCCACCAAGATGTGAATGCAGGTCAAAAAACCTGCCATGTGGCACGTAATCTACACTGTGTGTGCATGCCAGTCCTTGTCTAACGCAATGGTTCTCAACCAGGAGTCCAGGGCCCACTGGGGGACCGCGAGCAGGTGTCAGGGGGTCTGCCAAGCAGGGCCAGCATTAGACTTGCTGGGACTCAGGGCAGAAAGCCAAAGCCCCACCGCCTGGGGCTGAAGCCAACGACTTAGCTTCACAGGTGTGGGGTGGACGGGCCATGGAATTTGCATAGCATGCTGGGGAGGCCTCAGAAAGAAAAAGGTTCAGAACCCCTGGCGTAATGGATGCAACAGTCCTTCCAGCAGCAATCTGCCCCCACTACAACAGGCCTCAGAGATACCCCAAGCTGTCCTATGCAAGAGGCAAAAGCGCCACTAGAAGTCAGCCAGCAACTCAGAGCAAGCCACCCCCCTTGAATAGGCACCCGACCCTCACCCCAGCCAATGAGCCGAGCCAGGCCGCAGGAGATATCCATGTGAACTGACCCGAGGTGCCCCTTGCTAGGAATGACCTCATCTGCCATCCACGCAGGCTGAATGTATGCACCCCCCATGAGCTTCCAGAAAAGTGTCCCTCAGGTGAC